TCCAGGCAATTCAGTAAAACCAAGGCAGATCTCAATCTAATTCATAAAGCTTCTAGATAATACCTATGCAAAAATTGAGCTTCTATCTCAAGAGTACAGGAAAGTACATCTTTTAAATGGGCCTCTCTTCAGGAGCTCCTGAAGGAAGAGTATCCTATCATAATAGCCCATTTTGGTCCTTGTAAATTATTTTAGATAACATTAGACAATTGTTTAATGACCAAACTAGAATCTAGTTTAAGCTAAATAGGTTACCTCTATTTCTTCATGGCTAATTTCTGTCAGAAACTCAGATTCCCACCCCCCCTTTTATCCACCAAATAGAGCAACAACTGTACTATAGCATTTAAGAGAAAAAGTATGGAAGTCTTAGAAATGATAGAAAATAGCTATAATATAAAAAATCCTTGAATTTGATTGATATCAAATATAGTTCCTAGAGCTCACCAGTCATGCCATTCCAATGGGTCTTCTGCCTCATGATTTTGATGCTGCACTTTTTCATCCAAGGCAATGTGATTGCCACTCCAACTCCCCGCTAAATGTAAAGGCCATAGATCCTTGCCTGTACCTGATTTCTTTCTATTGGGTGAATGACACTCATATTATTTAGTGGAAATCTTTGCCTAGATATAGCATTCCCTGTAGCTGCTTTGTCATTGCCAGAGCAATTAAGACTTCTTCACACCATTTTCTATAGTAATCTGTCCTTGTGAGGTACCAAGTGGAGCAGTTTGGCCATGCCTTATGATACTAACTAACTACTCTCTCACTGCTGGGTTCATATAAGAGGAACCTAATCTTTCACTCTCTTCTGAGCCTTATCCCAATAATGCATCTTTCTGCAGCTCTCTGCACTGGCCTCTTTCCTGGAGTAGCAGCCCCATGCACCTTATCAAAAGTTGAAATCAATCTGAGTCCCTCTTCCACCACACTCTAGCTAATCCACCTTCAGGATCCATCTGTCCTGTTACAAGTTAAATATATTACAAATTTATCCTCTTTATCTCTTCCTCCAAAAAACCCCACTCAAGATTGTTGTCTTTTGGATAGTCCACGGAAGCAGTGTCCTGATTTGCTTATCATAAGAGAACTGTAAACTTTCCAACCTCCAAGCTAGTCTCTTCCCTGCAAACCTCTTTATAGGTCATCTCCCACTCATTATCCCTCTTCAGTAGTTCCTCCTTCGCCTAAGTAACAGGCACAATTTTGTAATATGATCATGATCTTATATTCCATATAGGTAACCTATTGCCCTAGATTAATTATAGATATCCTATTTATCTATCAAGAATTTCAATTTTGAATACGTTATGTGGTTATTTTAACATAATCATGATCTGGCCCTAGCCTCAGCCAGGGCAACAGTACCTCTATATTTTGCACTAATATTCTTTTAGTCCTGTCCAGATTACTTTCCATTCACCTCCTGCTCTTGTTTGCATAGACTTTGTATTTCCTCTTCCTCTATGGTAAATTCTTTCTCCTCAGAATAATTAGTTGATGCATTCCCTTTGTTTTGAGCATCTTTTGCCAGCAAGGCTTTTCCTCATCCCCATTTCTAAGTGAAATTATTAAAAGCACTCTACTTCCAGCATTTGCCTGTCTTCTCCATGAGCCTGCACCCTGTGAGGTCAGGGGAGGGGTCTCTTCTTTCCACACTGTCTCATCAGCAAGCACAGAGCCTGATGGTTAACACTCAATAAAGTTAATTCAATAAACATTGATTAAACAATGACTAAAATGGGTTGTTTTCTGCACCTAATTGAAGGGTCAATTTCTGGTGATGCACCTCCCATTGTACTATTTAAATGCAACTTCTGTCACTAGTTAGACATATTAACTCCTCCTCCACACTACACATCAATAAATATATTCCCCCAAATTTTTAATCAAAGGGTAGTGTAATACCGTACTTAAAATCAACCTCATTTTACTTCTTACAAGCAAGCAAACAGAGCAAAATGCAACTAGATGTAAGGGAAACTTTGTGTTCTGGTTACAAATCTCAGGTTGTCCAGTCCTTGGGTCTTTTATTGACTCTCATTGAAATATGTTAGCCTCCTCCCCACTTCTTCATATTCTATAAAAGAGGGCAGCTATAACCAGTCATTTAGTTTTATCTGTTTTGTATTACCAATGCCTTTATGTAGAATTGAAAGAGGCTTGATCAACAAATATGTGACGTAAATTTCTGTTTAGTTCATGTAAAATCTATGCACAGTGTAGTCACAATTAAAAGCAATGTTACAAGAAACCCCCACAATGTTACAAGTATTTGGATTATTATTTTTATAAAGAGTACTGTTTAAATATAAAGACCAAACAGTGTAAATATTCTAATATCATTTATCATTGTTTGGTTTACAAAATTGATTTGAACTCCATTTACATTTGGGGGCAGCAGAGCGGGGAGAGACTGAGAGAAAGAGGGATGGAGGGAGAGAGACAGAGGGAAGGGGGAGGGAGAAAGAGGGAGGGAGAAGGAGAGAGGAAGGGAGGGAGAGAGAGGGAGAGGGAGAGGGATTGTACTTGTATGCTGCATGTTGTCAGGACACTGAAACACCTGCCCTGCTGTGGTTTACATAGGAGTCAGGCTGGCTCCCTTTGAAAGCGACTCCGGCAGCATGTAGGATGACTGAGGGTGATTGCCTTCACTTACTTGATTAAAGCTGGTAGAAATATAGACAGTCCTCCAGTTATTTTTTATGCAGCTTGCTGACTATTGCTTTTCTTTTTAAATGGACATTTACTACCTATTTAGAACAATAAAATACCTCAAAGCAAACATTAAGCAAAATGTAGCCTATCCATCACATGCCCTGCTTCTCTTGATAGCAATAACCATGAATAGCCCGTTACATGGTAAATTCTACATTCTAACAAGTTGCTTTATAGATTCACTTTGTGATCACTAATAAACCTATTTGGCAAATATCTAATTAAGGAAACCTTAATGAAAGACAATTACCCAGTACCCTAAACTTACTAAATTTAATTTTTGGGGTGCCAAAATGTGTTTTAAACGAGTTGTGTTATGTATTAGTGTTAAAAATGTCAGTCTTGTGCTACACTAATTTAGCCACAGTAACACTAAGGGGCAATTAACATTTTAAAGTGAGTGCTACACTCATCGGTGACTTTTATATGGTGATTTTCCTTATTGTGATGAGTGTAAATACATATATGGTAAATGCATTTTATTAGAAATTGGACTGGACTTCATCAACAGACCTTGTGAATTACATGAGAGTGTATGTCCACTCACGCACTAGTAGCAGCTTTCAGGAGAAAATTCAAACGGGTACTGGGAGAGAAAAAGAAAATATCTCGGTAGTATTTGAAGGTTAACTTGCAAATCGCACAAGAAGCAATGGGTCCACATAAACTGCTACATCTCTAGCTTTTGAAAAACTTTGTGTTTTGAAATAATTTTAGATTTACAGAAAAGTAACAAATCTGGTTGAGTCTGCATTTACCTTGCACCTGGGCTCCATATTTCAATTATGAAAACCAGGAAATTAATATTAATTACCGACTTACAAATCACATGCAAATTTCTATCTTCCCTATGCCCTATTTTTCTTGTAGGATACAGTTTAGTGTCCCTGATGGTACTTGCCCCTGAGACTTTTTAACAGCCTTCAAAGATTGAAAATCCCTTAGTCTTTTCTTGTCTTTCATGATCCTGACACTTCTGATTTTTAAAATAACTAAGCAGTTATTTTGCAAAATATCACACAATTTGGGTTTGCCTGATGTTTTCTATTAAATCAAGCTTATGTAGCTTTTGGTAAGAATATCACAGCTGTGACCCTGTGTCCTTCCCAGGATAGACTATCATGAAGTACCTTTGTCAATTGGTCCTATTAATTGTGATATGGACCTTGAACTCTTGGTCAATGAAGTGTCAGGTTTCCCCTCTGTAAAGTCACATTCAGCCTGTGTTATAGCCTGTTTCTTTCAACATTTTCACTTGCTGACTTGAGTCTCCATTGGCAGATCTTACCAACAATTATTACAGTAGCGAATCCCTAATAGCAATTTTGGGTTTCTCTCATTCCTTTCACACTTACTGATTTGATATTTTTCTACAAAGAGCTGCCCCTCTCTAGTGATCAATTATTTATCAATTACTACATACATATAAGATATTTATTTGAGTCTATAACTTAACAATATAGCATAGGATTTATTTGTAATCACATGCTGTGACTAAGTATTGCTCACCTCGCTCCTCTCTGGCCTCCTTGGTAATACTCCCAGGTATAGCATTTGGATGGACACAGCACATATGCGATCAAGTTAGCTGTTTTGTTTGTTTATATAAATTAAAATATGAATACTGATATTTAGTTAATCACAAATACTTAACCTCTGTACATTCCTAGAAGAAAAATATTTAACTGAAAAAAATATCCACTTTGCTCCATGTGAAATAGGTTTTCCTCTGCTCCTCAATAGTTTTAAGCACAGCTGAGCTCGATTTAAGTGGCAGTTACATCTTATAGATCCTAGCCTTGCCAGTAACTTTCAGTGCTAACTGTATAAGTGCACTCAGGTATGTCCTGGCCATCTCAAAAGACTCAACGTATAGGGAAATGTGGCATATTCTAAGTGCCATATGCTATCTAGTATTATGGATTCCACTTCACTCTAAACAAAGGACTCAACAGTAGTACAGAAGTAATAATGATTTCCACACAATGTTCAACATATATAGGAGAACATTATTTTACTAAATTCAAAGCCCAAGTTCCAACTAACTTTTCCAAAGCAGTTTCCAAAATACTCTATTCCCAAGACAGGGACATAGGCAAATTTCTCGAAGTATCTGTCCTTGATCGACATTCTCTATGTATTATGTACTAGCTCTCAAAATTTAGTGAAAATAAAAATCATCTCAGGTGTGTATGCCCAGATTGCAAATCAAGTGATTTTGATTAAGCGTGAACAACAGGAATTTCCATTTTAAATCAGCATTCCCATGCTGGCAGAAGACAGAACAAGAGTCACTGGCTTGAGGGCTGTTCTTTGAATTTCCTTGCTTGGCTAGAGGAAGGCAGGTGGGGTGGACTCCAGGAACCTGAACTGGATGCATTCTGAGGAGCAGCAGCCTGTGGTGAGGTGAGCTGTCCCAGGCAGCAGGCGAATTGCTGTGGGGTAGCTTGGTGAGCGTCCCAGTTCCCAGGCTCAGGAAGCCAGAAACCAGGTGACCTTTGTATTTGACCTCATCTGATTTAGTGTTACGTTTATTGACAAGTAAGTCATCTCAGTATTGATCTCAGGAAAAGAAAAGCATTTTAAATGTGTTTCCAAAATGTGCACACACCCACAGTAGTATACCACCTAAGAAAATGCTCAAACACAAGCCTCTAGTTTTGTTTTTTAATTGAGAGCAAATTTCAACATAATTTTCCTTAATACAACTGACCCAACTTCATTCCTGGCTTGTGATATGCATATAGGTCAGCAGTTCATCAACTTGCTCTGTGATTAAAATACGGGAATTTTCTTTTTTGACGTACTATTCTTTTGCACTCCTCTGCTTCTATTTGTTTTCAAACTTGAATAAGAGAGATACTGTAGCATTCTGCTTTCATTTCAAGCGTGATGTTAACTCCTTTGAAGTTGGAGAGTGATCTCCCAGTGTGCTGAGTAGGCTAATGTTCAGTCCGATTGAGCATCTTTTGAGCTGTAAAATGTACCCTGTTTCTGTCATCTCTGGGAGTTAAACACAAGTATCAATAATATGCATGTAAACAAAGCTTGTCACCTAGGGATACGAATATACTCTCAGCATTGTGTAGTAACAAAATATTTACTTTTTGCTGTAATTAAGGCCCAACTTCCAATTATTTCTTCTAAAGTAATTTGAAAAATTGGAATCCCCAGCAGAATGTAGAAGACTTCTGACATTTTAATTCAGTGATAAGTTGATGTAAGGAGTGGCTGGAAAGTACAGTGAATGCTTAAATTAAAATAAATTATAGTAACAGCCACACTGGGGCATGAACAGTGGGGTAAGTGTGTTCAAAGTAAGTGAAGTGGTGAGGAGGGAGTATTTTGAGTATCTTGGGGGGAATTATGGCCATGTGTATTTCAATAAAACTTTTTATTTAAACATTCACCACATCTTTTGAACACACCACATTGATCAAATGTTTAAGGCAATCTCTGCAAATAAAAACATTACAGTGCATCCTTATTCACCTTATTCACTGGATCTGGCACTTAGGACTTCTAGGTCTTCCCTAAGGTCAAAATGGCCATGAAAAGTAAATGTTTTGAATCAATTCAGAACATTGAGGCAGCCATAACAGCACAACTAAAGACACTCATGAAAGAGAACTTTCAGAACTGTTTTAAAATGTGGCAAGAAGCATAGGATAAGTGTATTCAAAGCTAGGGAAAGTATTTTAAGGCAGATTAATGGCAATATATCTCCTATTGTAATACATATTTTTTCAGTACCGGGAATCAAACTCAAGACCTTGTACTTGCCAGGCAGGTACAGCGGCACTGAGCTACGTCCCTGGCCCCGGTAATACTTTTTTTTTTTGTACCGGGGATCAAACTCAGGACCTTGCTCTTGCCGTGCAGGCGCTGTGCAGCTGAGCTATATTCCTGGCCTTATAATACATTATTGATTTAAATATTCAGCATAATTTTTATCATACCTTCTTATGTTGTACTGCCCACACAAGGAACATCCAACTCAAACAAAATAAACTCCACACTTGGAATTATAATTCAATTTCAAACAAATGTATTGCAATGTAATATAATACTCATGAAAGGTAGTAGTATTTGTTTCAAAAAGTTGGATGCCTCTTTTAAGGGGGAAGCAATATTGAATATGCTTGCAGATCTGTAATTATCAATCAGTTTTGTCATCAAAATCACATGGAAATCCCTTGTTCTTGTAAGTATTATTTTCTTCTTTTGTAATAGTAAATCTAAGACATCTTGAAGGGAGATGATAATTAGTTGTAGTTGTCTTTTAATTGTTGTAAATCTATCAAGATGTAAGTATTCAATAAGCATGTCTGAAATCTGAGACAATATAAAGAGGTGAGATGTAATAAGGGAAATAATTTGCATGAAAATTATAGTTTAAGCTGTAGAAGATATGAGATAACAGAAGACAAGTCATGCAAATAGAACAGCTGGGAAATCATTAATTCATTTGTTTATTTGCTTTGCCTAATGTGAGTTTTTCCCCAAATAGCACCATTCGTGAAATTAAAATAAAAATAAATACAGAAATTTTAAATATGTGAAATGCAAATGGTAAATAGCCAAAGAAATCCAAAACGCAAGAGCCATGATTATTCATTTTAACCTACACATGAACCACTAGAGATCTTGTTAAAGCTGTTTCTGATTCAGACCATCTGGGGTTGGCCCCGAGATTTTGCAATTGCAACAAACTTCCTGGGATGTTAAGCTATGGGTCCGCAGCCTGCACTTTGAATAGAGAGATATTAAAGTGAGCATATACATCCTCAGGGTCCATTTTCAACAGTTAGTTGAGGGAACACAAAGATAAATCAGAGAATTATATCAACGATCATCAGCTATATAGAGTTTTCTTGGTACAAACCCTTGGCGGGACCACATAGTCTTCTTCCCATGAGACCTTGATGGTGGGAGAATGGAGCGCTGATTAACATCCTGTTCTTGAAATCCTGCAGCTCCGAAGTCCAGCTGATACTTCTCTACAGAGAAGTGGAATTGATTAGCCTGAGTCTGGAGGAAAAGAAGATTTAGAACCTGTTAAAATATTTGAAGGAATGAATAAAATCCTTGAGAGCTTTTGATCTTAGAAATTCCTTGGTGGGAGGATTTGGGGAGGAGGTACGAATCATTTTGCATCATGGAAAATTTCTGCTAGCGTTTTGTTTGTTCTTGTCATACATTGTCTCTGCGTCTGAGACAGATGCTGCAGGTTTCTCCAGAAAATTGCATGGTATGGTTTAAGCAAATGTAAAAGTCTTCTCACTGTGTGACACAAACATTTTTAAAAAAATTCTGTTTAGATATATGGTAAAATTAAACCTAAGTTTCAATCATGGAGATTCAACCTCCCTCAGCTGTAGATGTAAGCTCATGTTGAAAACTTCAAGCATATAAATATAAAATTTAAAAAGCGACTATTCTGGTTTGTTGAAACAGCTAAAAATGTGTCTTAATATGAAATGAATTTGGTACTGTTGTCCAAAACTGTAGTGAAACATATGTTTCCTGCCTTGAAATGACCAATGTAATAGTCTTCGAATAGCCATTTTGTTATTGCTGTTGTTTCTTGTGAACTTCAGAAGGATGGCCACATATAGTTCAAGTATATTTGGCTGATCATATTAAAAAAAACTACTTAGGACTTTAAAAGCTAATAAGTAGTCAAGAAATGACATTAGTAATGGATAATAGATGAAATTTGATTTGATTTGCTGGTGTACCTATGCAATTCATTTATATTCTTAAGTCTGTATTGAACTGATCTCATGTTACTACTGGTGAGGGCCTGAGTTTGAGGTCTTAGTGCTTAGCTGCAAGGGGCTCTTTGAAGTTGTTGTTCATGTTTCTGCACATTTCTGAGTAAGGGAATTTTTGATCTTGGCTCTTGGCCACAGGATCTTGGAGATCTTCTGCACTGGCCCCATTGCTCTGTATGGTATTTTACAGTGCTCTTCCCAAATCCTCTCTGACTTCTACAGGGATACTTCTTTACCAATTGCATGTTAGCATGTTTTAATTCTCCACATAATTTGATATGTTGGGGTTTCTGATTGTGCTGTACTCGATGTTTGCTTTCAGGGTATCTTTTGACTTCCCCAGTACTATGTCTTGAACCACTTTTGTCTTCTACGGCAATGATTCTTAAACTTCTGGAGATCTTTTAAAAATATCCAAACTGAGGCTGTACCTTAGACCAATAAAATCAGAATCCTTGTACTAGTACAGTATACATTGGTTGTCCAATGGCTCCATGCTTAAACTTTCCACTACTTGAATAGCAAAGTTAAAAAAGAAATATGCTTGGTTTTTATAACTTCATTCGACAGTCAAACTGAAAATCTGACTTGAAAAAACCTCTACAGGCTGAAAGCGAGTCACACATCACATTTCACTGTGAACTCAAAGGGGTAACATTTCAGTCTAAGTATTGCTCTTACCCAGACAACATATATGCTTGTGTTAGTGCATTAAAACATTTGTCATTGTGCTCATTTTTGCACTTTATTTGCATAAAATATTGTATCCATGATTCCAAAGAAAGTTAGTGATACCAGCAATAAAGCTAAGAGGAAAACTATGAGGACCATGACAGAGTTAAAGAAATCATTGTGAAATTTGTTAAAGTCCTGGAAAAATGAATTTATAAGTGTAATTTTTGGGCCTTAGAACCAATTATTTGGTTTTCAATTATTTCTTATGGGAAAAACATATTCAATTCTTGAACTTTTCAGTGTTCAAGCATGAATTTGGAATGAATTGAGTTTGGCAACTGAGATATCACTGTACTTTAAAAATTCCCTGAGAGATTCCAATATCAGTGAAGTGTGAGAGCCCAGGGGTAACAGAACACTTGGAAAATGTCTCTGGTCTTCCATTTTCCTTCAAAGCATTTACTTTATATAAAACCAATCTACATTTATAGCAGTATTTTGCAAATAAAGGTTTTTGCCATGGAAAATAAATGAAAAACTGTAACTCTGCCTATTAGAGTATAATAATCCCCCTTTATCCACAAGGGGTATGTTCCAAGACTCCAGCCCATGCTTGAAACAAAGGTAATATCAAACCCTGTATATACAATGTTTCTCCCTAAACACTGTATATATACTTACGATACAGTGTAACTCATTAATTAGGTACAAGAAGAGAGTAAAAACTAATTATAACAAAACAATAACAATACTATACTGAAATAAAATTGTGAGCATTATTATTCTTGTACTTTTGGACCATTAGTAAGTAAATTAAGGGTTGTGTGAACACAAACACTGTCATACAATGGCAGATGATCTGATGACGGAGATGTCTACTAAGTGACTAATGGATTGGTAGTGTATGTGGCCTAGATATGCCGGACAAAGGGATGATTCTTGTCCCGGACAGGA